ATTAACAGTGATTGACAATTTAATTCTTTACCAGTGATTTACTATATTTTCTGTAATCAATAAACCAGTTTTTGTTTTTGAAAAGATACACTTGTCCTTCTCTTGATTTTTAAGGATAAGTTGGTGGCAGCAGAGTTTTTAAAGTGAAGTAGCAACCACTCTCTGAGGTTTGAGGGTGGCTGTGTTTGTAATGTCCCAAATTCCCAGGATGGATGATGCAAAAGCCAGGCAGGCCTGTTGGTTTCAACTTGCTCTTCTTCAGCTAGCCATTTGGCATTTATGGCCTATCTCTTAAAACAGAGGACAGTCACAGGCCATCTTTTTGAAAGTCCAAAAGTTTATCTGTACCTGGGGGAGGAAAGATTGCCCCAGTTAACATGGCCTGCCTCTGACAGAGCTTAAAATTGCAGGGCAGAAAATAGTAAAAAGAGCAATTTGGAATTTTGATATGGCAATATGTATAGAATGGATGTTAGTATGTCATTGTTTCTCCTCTTCCCCTTAACCTCAATCCCTTTTTCCTTCCTGTTACCCTTTGTTAAAAATACAATATTTAAAAAAATAAAATAAAAATAAAAACAGAAATCCAGACCTGGTAAAAGACTTATTAGGGTCACTGAAATGTTACATAATTGGGGCAAAGCAGAATGTGCTGAACATGCAACAAGAAATGTAAAGTATTTTATTTGTTTGATTTTTATAACACCCATCTGACCAATGTGGTGGTTCACAGACTATAACAAGAACATGGCATAATCAAATGCATTACATTAACAAATCAAACTGAGTAATAGACATTTAAAACAGAACTAAAACATTCTGGCGGATTACTCAATAGAGATTTCCCCCCTCTGCTTAGCAACAACTTCCTCTAGGCAAGGTAAAATAAATGGCAAAAGAAATACAGGAAGCAAAAAAATCTTACTGGCAGGAGAATCTGGTTTGGGTGCAACACAACATGAGTCCTTGTTTAGAGCTGTGACAGCCGAAGTCAAGATAGCCATGACAGTGTCCAACCTCTAGTAGTTTTAGAAGAGGTAGCTGTGTTAGTCTGTGCAATATCAGGCCAAACAAAACAAAAAAAAGGAAAATAAAGAAGACAAAAATGTGTGGCACCACAGATATTGCTATATTTTAATGTGAGCTTTTGAGGAACTGGACTTGTCCAATAAAGATCAAATTAAAATATAACAGTCTTTAAGGTACCACCATATTTTCAGCCATGTAGAACATGAAGAGAAGGAAGTAGTATAAATTTTCTCAACCCAATTATGTCATAATCAAAAATAAGAGGAGACAACAGAAAGTCTAAAAAGTACTGGGTTAAGTTTTTTCTTAAAGTCTGTAGATTGCTTTTGATGAACCAATGTTTACTGTTTTTGACTGAGTGTTACAGCTTGGAGAGTCGTAACGGCAAGGTCCTGTCATAAAATGGTGGTCAGCTGACAGGAAGCTCAAGCTGGGCTTTTTCGTCTAGCCAAAAGAAAGGGTATACAGGTTCTCCAGAGAATTCAGCTTCTGAGTAGGTGTGAAGCAACTCTGCTCGCTCCCCATCAAAAAACGCCACCTGGCCTGCCTGATAATTCAGCAACACTTTGATCTTCTTGAGGTGCCTCTTCGCCGGCACAAGGTCATAGTCGGGGTGGTTAGGAGCCAGGTACCCATAACTCCAGTTCCCTATAACCCAGATCCCCTCAACAGCACCAAAAGCAACCGCACCTTTTCTCCTCACAGACGCCTTGGCCACCCCCACAGCCCACTGCACCTCGGGTCCCACAAGGACATCCCAGTAATGCCTGCCTGAGGAAAACTTCTCCATTCCCAGCACGATAGGGAACTGGTCAAATCTCTCTGGGTTGTTGGGTAAATCTTGACGTGCCTCTTGTACCTTCACATGTCTGTGATCCTTTGAGATAATAAGCCGGGGATGAGCTGTCTTTGGATCCAAAGTCACGCTTGCTGAATGGGATGTGGGAAAAGAGAACAGAATCAACTAGGAAACTCATTTAAGCTTAAACCCACCTCTGTAATTACATTCCCTGTCAAATCGGGGATTTATTGGCGTAAATGGTCACTTCTCACTCATTTTTTCCCGTATTATTTGTAACGCAGCTCATTCTTCTGAGGGGAGCCCCACAGCCCTCTTACATAAATAGTCATACATATTGGTCTTCCAAATTTACCTTTACTCAGATGAATTCCTTTTAAAAGCATGTCTGAGGAGGAAAAGGGAAACCAAAATTAGGTCCGTTCATAATTTTATTCCAAAACGCATATTCAAATCCTGCTCAAAATAAAAAAATTAACTTTGACAAACTAAAAAAAAGGATAAGAACAGAACAAATATGGTGCCATGCAGTTATTCATACCCTCTCCATTTGATCGAACTATAGTAGGACCCCCTTCTCTGCTTTTTAATGTATTTCTACAGTTTTATCAATATGCAATAAACAGAATTGGAAACTTGAATATTTTCATATACTTTTCTGTAGATGTACCAGTAGTAGGAATGGTAGCACCTTAGTAATGATGAATGAAGAAAGAGTGTGTTACTCTACCAGATGGTTTCCTCAAGTTGCCAATTCTGTTTATCACAAGACCACAGAAACACATTAAAAAACAACACTTTTCTTGGCACTTGAAATATAGCTGCCCCATCGACATACACACTGATCAGACTAGCAGTAAAGTAACAGGAAGGCACTTGTTTTCATTACATTGAAAAAGGAGTGAGTTATAGCCTGCTGTTACAGGGGAAAAATGAACTGTTTCACCTTGTTACAGCAAAATGTAAGACATTACCAAAATAACTCATTACTTCCAAGTTCTGTACTAGAATGTTTCTAGCAAGCCTCGTGGTGCAGTGGTTAAAGTGCTGTTCTGAAGCTAAACTGTGCTCACCACCTGGAGTTCTATCCCAGGTAGCCATCTCAAGGTTCTCTGTTTCACCTTGTTACAGAAAAATGTAAGACATTACCAAAATAACTCATTGCTTCCAAGCTCTGTACTAGAATGTTTCTAGCACGCCTCGTGGCACAGTGGTTAAAGTGCTGTTCTGAAGCCAAACTGTGCTCACTACCCGGGGTTCTATCCCAGGTAGCCATCTCAAGGTTCACTCAGCCTTCCATCTTTCCGAGGTCAATAAAATGGGTACCCAGCTTGTTTGGGGGTGGGTGGGAATGTGTAGCCTGCATAAACCACCCAGAGAGTGCTTTAATGGGGCAGTATATAAGCAGTAGAGATGTGGGTATTTGTATACGAATATTCCTGAACAGCTGGACTTAATGAGGGGCCAGATCCTGCAGCCTGCTTGTCCACTCCCATGTCTGGCGATGGTGGCAGCCTCGCGTATCATTCCAGCCGCTCCCACACATGATAGGTTGGAAGAATGAGGGAGGCTGCCGCTGGACATGTGAGTGGTGGACGGGCTGGCTGCAGGGGCTGGTCTCTCGTTAATTCTTGTTAAGAACTAGGTATGTTTAGCTTAACGAGAAGACTGAGGGGAGACATGATAGCAGTCTTCCAATATCTGAAGGGTTGCCACAGGGAAGAGGGCATTGAT